ACCTCTCTAACCAACCATCATATAAAGTCAGTCATCTTAAAACTTCTGGGCACTGACTGACTGGATTTCAGGACTACGTTAGGGGCACTCTGTCCACTTCCAGTCTCCTTGTGATGGTGAGTAGAGGCAGTTCCTCAGGGCCTCAGGGAAGAGGCTGGGCAGTGGGAATGGGGTTCTAGATTCACCTGTTCAGTGGGCTTTGTGGTGGGTTGACATAGGCCGTGTGTTTGATAAACAGTGGAGCAAAATGAATAAAAAATCTCCATCCTCCAGAATCTGAGAGTCTAATTGGGAAATCAGCCTGCTGAACAGTGATGAAATGTCGAGAGTAATGCGAACCATGACTGGAGTCCCTGGAGTGCCCTGATAAAGCATGATGGTAGCTCCAACTGGGACAGAGGTGACTGAATCAGTAGGGGCTTTGTACCCAAAGATATTCACAGTCACAAACCGCAGGATGCCTTTATCCTTTGAGTTAGAGAGGGGCCAGGATACCCCAGGTGTTACTGTGCTTTAGAATCTTCTGAATCAAAGTAGGGTCCTTGGACCAGCAGCATCAACATCTCCTGGGAACTTGCTAAACAGAGAAGATAAGATTACTTTGCATTCTATTTCTGATCTTTTTAGTCATTTAGGTTCTTCATTTCTTTCATTATAACTTCAGGGGAAGCTAGGGGATTCTTTAGGGACGTTTCATTGTCTGAGTTGTTTTCGGAGCAGTTAATTGGAAAGAAAGGTAATGTCTCCTGTTGAAAATTGGGGAAAGGATGAGTTTCCTTAAGATCTCTTCCTGGGGCCTCCCCTGGTGGCGCAGTGGTTGAGCACTGGATTGCGAGGCTGCCCACAGCCTCTGCAGCGCCAGTTCGATCCCGGCCACCGAGGGTCCCACAAAAAAAGAAAGAAAGAAAGAAAGGATTAAATAAAAAAAAAAGAAAAGAAAAAAGATCTCTTCCTGTGGGTCCTCCCCGGTGGCCTAGCGGTTAAGTCTCAGCGCTCTCACCACCACAGCGTAGGTTTGATCTGCGGGGGAGCTAGCCCACATAGGGTGCAACATATCTCTCCGGTCTCTCCTGCTGCTCCCCTCAGCAGTGTATTTCAGTAAGTCTGCCCGTTCTGCTCCCCACTCTGTCTCTGGTGGGTCCTCTCACCCCCTATACCTCTGGCCTACACCCCAGTTCTTCTATGCAATAAATGAATCAATAAATCTCTTTAAAAATATTTTTGTTCTTTCTGTCTTATGATGGGGGGGACATATTCAAATGGGGCAAGAACTAGTCTTTTCACTAATTATTAGCAGAGAGGAGGGCTCTTGGTGTTCTCACTAGGCCTGCTATCTGAATTCCTGAAGAAACTTGTCTTGTTTACAGGGTGCTGATGACAGAAATTGGTGATAATTTGGATAAATCTGATGTGTCCTCATTAATTTTCCTCATGAGGGATTATATGGGCCGGGGCAAGACAGCCAAGGATAAGGTGAGTTTTTTTTTCTTTCTTGGTTCATGTTTCCAAAAGTCTATCAGAAGTTGGGGGATGCTTCCTACTATATGGAGGGAGGGGAGCCTTTGAGCAAGGAGGTCCAACCTGGGGATCAAGGCAGGAAGTGAGAAGAGTACAGGTTTTTTCGTGTCATTGATGGGAAAAGAATTGGTTTATGAACTGAGAAGAAATAGGGTGATGTCTTCTGGTGTGGCCTTGGGTGTGTCTTTCCTCCTCATATTTATCCTTCATTTGTGTAAAATTCATAGACGTGGCTTATATTAATTTCCCTTCCTGGTTTGACAGATCCTCTGGGCAGGTTAGGAAGTCCCTTCTGCTGGTGCTGAGTGGAAAAAGTGCTAGTCCACTCTCACCTTGCTCTCCTGCTGCTACCTCTTTGTCCTTAGCTAATTCAAGGTCATGTGGAGCCATTAGGCTGCCCATGGGAAAGATTCTTATGACCTATCTATCTGAGGGGTGGCAAAAGCAGAGATTTGGGGTTGAAAATTAGGTAGGGGAGAGGATCTGAGGGATGCTACGATTGCTGGAAAAGGACCTAAATTCCAGCTGATTCTATACAACTGCAAAATGAGAAAGAAGGGCCTCCCCAGTGGCGCAGCGGTTGAGCCCTGGCTTGCGAAGCTGCCTGCAGCCTCTGCGGTACCGGTTCGATCCCTGGCCACAGGGCAAGGGTCCCACATGGCGCGCAGACCTCTCCTGCTGCCCGCTGCTCCCTCAGCAGTGTACTTCGTCTCTCTGCCTGTTCTACTTTCCGCTCTAGCTCTGGTGAATTCTATCACCCTCCCATGCTTCTGACTGTACCCAGTGCTTGTATAAATCAATCAATCAATCAATCAATCAATCAATCTTTAAAAAAAAAGAGAAGGAAAATGAAATAGCAACTTTTTTTTTGGTATCTTCTAATCAGCTATCTCCTGATTACTTATATAGATTTAATTATGATTCTTATTTAAGAAAATAAAGATAGCACTTCAGTAACCAGCTGTTACACAGAGGGGAAAATAAAAGCAAAGCCAAGCCGGCATCTGAACACAGTTCTTTCACATCCCTGGTGTAGGGTCAGGAATGACACAGGGCAGGTTTTCTAGGATCCCATGCAGACCAGGTAAAGGAGGAGTCAGAGTCCTCAGTGGCTTTTGCAGGTTTTTTATTGGGATTACCAGGCACACGGTAATCAGGGGCACTGAGGGGACCGGGAGGCTGGCAGGCCACCCAGCCCCCAGCAAATCCTCACTCTATCTGGGCTCTCCGGTGATCTCGGCTTCTCTTTTGGCTTCTCCTCGGCTTCTGCTGGCGTCCCCATGACGCCGCCCTTAAAAAGCCCAGTCTCAGCCCAGGTGAATCCCATCTACCTATGCCCACACCCTACTCCAGGTGCCCGACATCAGGCATGCATTCAGGACCACAAGGATCCATCATCTATCCTGATGGCGGGAGGGCAGAAAAGCCTGACATTTTTCCTTACCCTACACCTGGGTTCCAGGGTGAGTGAGTAGTTGAGTTGCCACCCAACCCCCTCAGTCAGGATGAGTTAGAATGTCCAGCATGAAAACTATTTTAGGAATTTCAAAACCACCATTGGGATTTTTTTTAGTAGAAACTACCCTCCAGCCATTTTCTCTCTTCCTTTTTTTAGGAAAGTCCTGAGAGTTTTTCAGTGTAACACCAGTCTGGCTTTTTTGAAAGAGAATGAGTGCAGGATGATTTTATTTTTAGGCCTGCTCTCCCACAGCACCGCTGATGACACAAAAGAGTTCACATGCTCTTCCCAACCTAGGCTCAGCTTGCCCACCAAAACTCATCACTGCCTCTTTTCTGAGTAAAATCCCAGAGTGTAATTTGCTGTTGGCCTTGGAGGAACTGTGACACAGGTTCAGTCACTAACTCCTTGTCATATTTTCTTACTGATATAAATCACATGGTCAGAGGTTTGCACTTGTGGCTTAGTAGTCAGCCTGCTAACATTTGTTTCTTTTTGGTGGGTCTCTTAGAGTTTCTTGGATCTTGTGATTGAAATGGAGAAACTGAACCTACTTGCTCCAGATCAATTGGACTTACTGGAAAAATGTTTAAAGAACATCCACAGAATAGACCTCAAGACAAAGATCCAGAATTACAAACAGTCTGGTAAGAAGAATATTGACCTCTCAGTGGCCTAAGAAAGTACTCTGTGTATAGTAAGTCGGCTAGGTAAAGATTCATTTGTTGAATGGCTGGATGGAAGCCCCCACTAGCCTATGCTAAGGGATTGTACCCTTATGCCCCAGATCTACTGACTTTATCATCCCACCCCCATGATGGTCATCTTAGCCCTTTGCAAAATGCCACCAAGGCAGATCTTAAAATTCTGTCTTCGAGAAAGAGTCTGCACCCCCACTTTCTGCACAGGGCACACAGTAGACATTCAGGGTTTTTGCATCTATGCCGAACTCTGCTGGCTTGTTCCAGTGTTTGGCCTTCCCGCCACCCAACTCTGAGTTGGAGCTTTTACGGGGGTCCCATTACTGCCATGCATGTGTCCTGAGTGTCACAAAACCTCATGGAAAAGACCTTCTTTCCAGCTGATACCCCTTCCAAAGTGGATAGACTCCATATTGGCCTTTCTCAGGCCACACACCCCTTTGTCTTCTAGACCTGGCTCTATTAGCAGTCCACTGCCACCAAAGAGTCACCGCTGAAGGGCTTGGCTGTGATCCAGTGATCTAAAGACACCTCTCCCTACCCTCTTGAGTGACTAATGAAAGATCAAGAATAGGAGTAGCATTTTTAGCCCATTAATCATGTTGATGGAAGAGTCAGCTGATTTGATAATATTTAATTTAGTAAGCTGGCTGGGAAGTTTTAGGGTATTTTGAAAGATAGTGATTGACCTTGAACTGAGACATTGTTGAAGATTCGTTTGATGTTAATTTGTAAATCTTAACTCAGTACCTCGCTTCTGCTTCTAGCTCAAAAAACGGAAAACAGTTATATAAATGCTCTCCAGGCACCTGTCCCAAACTTGAATCTTAAGGATCCTTCATATAACTTAAGGGTGAGTCTGGAGCAAATATCTGGAATCCCAGCATGAAACAGTCTCAGAACTTTGATAAAAAGATATGTATTATCACAGCAGCATGTACTTTATTTATTATCTGGAAAACAATGTGATAGAAATGTACATTTGTTCAAAAATATGTATAAATTATGATTATAAAGCAAATTATGATTATAAAGCAAATACATCTAAAAAATACTGTAAAATATTTAAAAATAAATATTCTCAGATTTACCTTTCTGTGCACTTGCTTTTTTTTTTTTTTAAAGAGGCATGTATTTTTATTTATTTATTTGTTTGTTTGTTTGCTTTATACATGCACTGGGTACAGTCAGAAGCGTGGGAGGGTGAGAGAATTCACCAGAGCCAGAGCGGGGAGCAGAGCAGGCAGAAGGACCGAAGTACACTGCTGAGGGGAGCAGTGGGAGGCAGGAGAGGTCTGCGCGCCATGTGGGACCCTCCTCCAGGGGCCGGGGAGCAGCCGGGGATCAAACCGGTGCCGCAGCGGGCAGCTTCGCAACCCAGCGCTCAACCGCTGCGCCACCGAGGAGGCCCTGCACTTGCTTTTTATTGAGTTAATTTTAATGATTTTAGTACAAATGTCTTTGTTACTGATTGATTTGTCTGCATAAATGTAACAGTCACTTTGGTTGTTGTGTGGATGGTACAAGGTATCATCAAATTGTTCCTGGGTTAATTTTTATGTTGAGAAATTAATCTTCTTGTGATCTCAACCTCTGCCCCATAAAAAGGTATGTGGAATTGGTAGTGAGGACTTAGACCACAATGCAATTTCAGGGTTAAATTATAAATGCTTTCATAAAAGCATGTGATGATAACATTAACTACCCCTGTAACAGAGAATAATTTCATGGAGATTATGAGCCATAAAAGATGCCACTGAGGGGCCTCCCTGGTGGCACAAGGGGTTAAGACGCAGACTCTGCATGATGAGTTCAATCCCCAGCCAGGGAGCTACCCACATGGTGCAGCAGACCTCTCCTGACTTGCCCGCTGCTCCCCTCAGCAGTGTATTTCAGTCAATCTGCCTGTTCTGTGTCTCACTCTGTCTCTGGTGAATCCTCTCACCGCCCACACCTCTGGCCTGTACCCATATATGTATGCATAAATCAATAAATCTTTAGGAAAAAAAAGATGCCACTGAGAACAGAATTTCAGACCTACAATGAATGGTAATGATTATACTATCTTACCCACGCTGAACAAATGAGAAAACATTAAATATTGTCCACCTCAACTACCCCCAGAACTGGACCCCGTCCCTGCTCCTTTTTCTAACCAGGGTATATTTAATAAACTGCATTTGAGTCCTGCCATACTTGGATAGTGCTGTCATTTTTCCAAGAATCAAATATGCTTTCTATATTACCAAATTATGAGACAAAATTGATTAGGATTTAGATCCAGATTTTCTGAGCTTTCTGTGATATTATCGTCTAATATAAGCTTTATTGTTCCTTTTAGTAAAAGCCTGTCATAATTTTACTATTTATTGCTTTACATTTTGTTAATGTAAGTAATTGTATTCAATGTCAGTGTAGCCTGTTAGGAAACCCATATGATCTGTACATAAATTTATCCTTATATTCTCTGTATTACTCTGTGACTCTGGTCATTCATTCATTTAGTAAGCAGGCATTGTAGCATATGAATTCAGTGAATTTCTCATAAGATTTAGGAGCCGAACACCTGAATGTTCGCTCATACAAGGCCGCAAAAGCAAAATTACAGTGACAAATGACAGATGACACCAACATATTATAGAATAAATTGTATGACATTGCAATATAGTACTTTTAAAATATAACTTTGATTTGATGTTCTATCTCTTTAATAGTATGTAAATGTCAATGCACATCCCTTTGGGGTTCAAATTTAATATCGGCTTCTAACTGATTCATAGGTGATTAGTGATTAAAGCAACGTACATGTTTTTTCTTGAATTGAAACACACAGACTTATATACAGACACAGTTTAATGAATAGTGTACTTCTCTTTTTTGGCTAGGATAGCCTCAGAGGAGAGCTGTCATTTGAGAGCTGAGCATATCAGTTGGTTGACAGTATGTGGTGTGTGTAACCTTACACAAGACCTGTCATCTGAGAAGAGAAAGGGTTAGTTCAGTCTTTCATTCTTTGATTAATCCCACTCTAGCCCTCAGAAGCGGTAGCTGATTACTAAGAATCCAACCCACATGTGGCTATATTAGCCAGGCAATTACAAAAAACAATAACTGACATTTTTTAAGCACTTCTGTGTGCTAGGCACTGACCTGAGTACCTTATGTACATTTAATCATGGAAAATTTATAAGATAGGTACAATTATTATCCTTGTTGTAAAAATAAAGCAGCAGACATATCGAGGTTACATAATTTGTTCAAGGTTATATTACTAGTAAGTGGCAGAATCAGGATTCATAGCCCAGGTTATCTGGACTAGAACTTCCATTCTTGACCTTACCATATGTTACCTCTGTGTTAAAGATCAGGTTGAATGTGGATTGCTTATTCCAATAGCTTGTCTTGCTTGGAGTTTTTATAGCAACTCTGCTATACCACAACATCTGATTTTACCAAGCTGCTTGAAACATTCAAATATACTAGTTCAGCATGTTTATCTGTTCATGTATTTTCACTTTGAAAGAGTCACCTTGTTTTTTGACAATGGAATGTGGGATTTATGGACTTAGTGGCTTCTGCTGTTCTTATTTATATCATTTAACTATGAATGTGATATTTTTATTTTTTCCTCAATCTCATTGAGATATTTAAAGAGGTGTAATATAATGTGCCTCTGAAAAAACTAACAGAGAGTGTGGCCTTATTTTTTATATTTGAAGCTCCAGAATGGGAGAAGTAGAGAACAAAGACTCATTGTGGAACAACTTCAAAGTAAGACTACTTTTCTTTGTGTTCATTCTTTATAAATTCGATAGTTCAGGTACAAAATACTGCAGTTTTAGAGCTGACCATTTCCTTTATCTACACATTCTAATTCAGTTCTCAAAAGAAAAACCAATTAAAACTGAAAAAAACATATTCACTGGCATTTTTAGTTATCTGTGGAATTAGCTTATTTGAATTTAAATGCCTCTTACTCCATCAACTTCATCATCTTGGCTATGTTTTTAAGAGATGTGACATTTATACCTGAAATGAAATTATATTAATCTAGGCATGCCAATGAGCTATGTTAAACTAGCAGGAATAAGTAAGGCTAATACAATCTTGTTTTATAGCCCATTTAATGAATCTGAATACTCTATAGATGATATCCTCTCATCCCCTAAGATGAAAAAAAGTACAACAAAAAACTAGTCATTTCAACACATATGATCTCTTCACTTAAAAATCAGCATTTGATCCCCTAACACTTTTTTTCTAAGAGCGTTTCTTTTGCTTCTCTTGAGTCCTTGAAGTGAGGGTTGAGACTTGGTCTCGCACTGCAGCGCAGGTGATTGTGCATCAGAACTCCAGAAGGCAAGGCTTGGTATGTAAGTAAGGAGGGCTCCTTCTTACCTGATAGGGTTGGAATTTGTCCTGTGTGCAGTGAGGACGGTGAACACTGTAAGCAGGACAGTGGCCTAACGAAGCCTTCTTTGTGCAGCAGACCCCTTGCCAAAATGTCATGACTTGGCCTACGTGCTCTCCATGTCTCAGTCCTGAAAACTGAGAGACATTTTTCCCAAATTAAGCAGATGGTGCAGCTCGCAGCTGCCATCCTCCTTAACATTTAGTTCTCCAGACAAAGCCAGTGATCAGGGAGTTAATTCCTAAAGTGACAGCATGTGTCTTAAAACCCTGGTGAGGTGGTCAAGATTAGCATTCTGAAAGCTACTTAAGAGGAACATGGGGGAGGAGGGGAAGAGGAACATAGGAGATCTGGTAGAAATGGGAAGGAGCTAGAAACAATCTGTGTTCTTTCCATTGCTCTCTCTGATGGCAGGTTTATCCTGAATCTTAGTTACACAAGTAAGATAAGTGAGGCTTAGAGGTTAAAAAATCCCCCTGACTTTTGGAAGGAACATGCCTAAGATCACAGAGCTTGTCAGTGATAGTGTTAGGTTTTAACCAACATTTTATGGCTTGGATACTGTTGGTTTTCCTTAGAAAACTGTTGGTGATCCTTAGAGCTACTTACTGGCTTTTGCTTAAAGTTGGTTTACTTACTAATAACAGAAAGATGCATTCTGATAACTTGGCCTAAGTCCAAGAAGTTTAAAACAGTCAAACCAAGTATTCATATAAGTTTGGACTTGCAAATAAATTTCAACTGAATGAGGATGATGACAACCACAACTTACTAAGCCCTTACAAAATACCTTGTAGAAATAGGCATAGCACATAGATTACTTTGTGTTTTTCTTATTCTGTTACCCCATGATTGCTAAAATACAAGTAAATAGTCTCTTAATTCCAAATGTCAGTGATAGCCACCATTTTATATACCTCAGCCCTTATTTTTAAGCATATACATGTGTAAGTATATGCTTCTAGCTTCTTTCTATTTGGGGATGTTACAAGCATTCAGTAGATATCCTTGATGTTTTTGCTCACTTGCTCTATTATCTCCTTAGATAAACTTCTAGAAGCAGAATGTTGATTTAAAGCATAATGCCAGTTTTAAGACAGTTTCAAGTTATACAACATTAGAATTTGAAAGTTCTCATTTTCCCCAAACCTTACCAATACCAGCATTATTTTTCAGTTGCCCACTGGGTTCTACTGGGCTGGCAAATAGACAAACATCAGACAGAATGATAAGAGAAAAAGCCACCTAGAAGTTAATAAGAACATCTATACCTCCTGTACATGTGGGAAAGACCCAGCATGATTGAGTAACTCACCCATTAGGCTATAGACACGATTTTACATTGGAAAGATGGGGGGTTGGGAGAAGGGGTCATCAGGGTGCTTACTGGGGGGAAAACAAAGGTATTTGCTTCTGATTTCTCCACTGAAAAGAGATAGTGGGATTAGGGCTTCTTGAAATAGATACTTAGAGAGATGTTTCAATATTGACTTCAAAAGCAATCTCCACTCAGCCTTCAGCGATCCTCCCTAAAATCAAACTTCTGCCAAAAAGACACATATTTTGGGGTAGCAAATTTTTGCACCCCTATGGTAGATATTGGTATATTCATCTTTGAGATTAAAAAAATCCCCTTGATACTTCTGGAAGGAACTTGCCCAAGACCACAGAGCTCATTAGTGCTAGTGCTAGGTTTTAACCAACAATTTTATGGCTTACAAACTGTTGGTTTTTCCACCTCCCTGGGTTGGCAAACTCATTTTTATCTCACAAAATTGTCTTTAGGCTTATCTGTATTTGCAAGACTCACTGTACTACCCATCTTGCTCTTGACATTTTATTTTATGATCTCCCAATATCACTCGACTAAGAAAACATGGCCATCTGTTCCTGAAGGGGAAAATTCATGTAAACATTCTCTTCTCTGTGTCTAAGGCATTATCCAGTTGCCGCAAAGCTATTGGTAGTGTTGTGGGTGAAGTGGGAGGATTCTCCCTATCAGGCTAAAATCTTATCAGTCACGTGGTCCTCATCTGGAGTTCTGAGGGGCAAAGGAGAGTCTTCTTTCAGTTGCAATAAATTTCAACTGAATGAGGATGATGATAACCACAACTTACTAAGTAGTTTTTCTATATAACCCCATTTAGCATGAGAACTAGTGTTTTATTATCAGTTAGATTCTATTAGTATGAGATGGGAAACTTGGGAGCTGAGTAAAATAAGAGATAGTTGAAGGAAACAGCAGAAGTGAACCATTGTGATATAAAGAAACTCGGCCAGCATGAGTGAACTTAGTTCTTCAGCTTTGTAAATGATTTATCTGTCCTCTCCTCTCCCCTCCAGGAGAACCAGTGAAGAAATCTATTCAGGAATCAGGAGCATTTCTGTCTCAGGTGCCTCAGGTATAGAATAATTGATCTGATTTGCATTGTATTTTATTTATGTATGGAGAACACTGATGTTTAAAAATGCCTGTCCATTAAGAATCCTCTGTGACAAGAGCGTACTGAGCAGGCTCTTCCCCTGAGAGCTCTTCAACAGCCTTGGACATAGCAGAGAGGATTGCAGTAGTGAACTTTGGAGTGCATGGGAATTCCAGAGTGGCATTCTTAGTGAGTGATTGCTGACCACACAAATGGGCAGTGACAATGAACCTTGCCTTTTTTTGGATTGCTGCCCCTCTTTTCTGTAAAGAAAGGCAATAGACAGTCTCCTTCTGAACTGGGGTAGAAAGATATGGCTTGTGCCACCTCAGGTTACTGTGGTAACCATTTTTTTCTCCCTGTTTCAAATTATCATTCTGTAAAACTAAGGCATGTGTAGGAGACTAAAATTTTAATTAAAATGAATAGAAACTGAAAAAGCTTATTTGTCTTAAGCACATCACCATAATGGAGGAAAAATGTGTTACTAAAGGGAAGTCAGCCTTGATGTTATCAGGTTGTGTCTATTGAATGACTCACTTCTCAAAGAGATGTTTCAGAAAATCTAAAAGAACAGATGACATTTGGGTGGGAGCTTGCCGAAATAACAGCATCCAGAGTCTTTAACAATCCCTGCTTTTCTTTCTAGAATATACCAGAGGAGAGATACAGGATGCAGAGCAATCCCCTAGGCATCTGCCTTATCATCGACTGCATTGGCAATGACACAGGTTGGTGTGAATGACCCCACAGTGAGATCCTGGCACAAGCAAGCTCTTCATGAGTGATCTACATAGCTGCTGTAACAAACTACTGCAGGAATGTGTGGTTTATCACAATCAGGAAATAGTTTCTTGCTCATATCAGTGTAGTGTGGATTTTTGTCCCATGTCGTCACTCGGTGACTTCATTGTCTGAGGCCTTGCAATATTCTGCAGGATCCTCTGTGTCAGACTAGTGGGTGAGAGAAATGCATGGAGAAAAGCACACAAGAGATTTTAGGGACCTGCCCTAAAAGTGCAGTTCTTCTCTACCCATCTTTCAATAGTCAGAACTCACTACTGCAGTCCCACCTGCTGCAGTGGACCAGCAACTTAGTCTGGCTGTGTCTGTCCTGCCTGTGCCGACATTGTTGGGATCTGAATCTGTTTTTCCTGTCTATTGTTGGATGTCTGACTCAAACTGAATTAATCACTGGTGGTGCATCAAAAGAGAATGAGAAGAACCTAAGTCAGTGGAATGACATTATGTTTAATTATTTATCTCTCTATTTTTTTTAAAAAAGGATTTTTTAAAAGGTTATTTCCCCAGCTTTCCAACTCAACATTCTCTTAGAATGAGTCAGAAGTATCTTTTAGACTCATTTGAAATGTTACCATGGTGGTTTATGGGAAGAGAATTTAAGAGGAGGTCAAATTAGCAAATATTAGACTGAATTTCCTAGGATTTCAGATATGACCTCACTTTCTCATGTCCTATTTTTGGTTAGATGTGAGAAATGTCTCCTCAGCTATAGATAAGTGTTCCTTCTTTTTTAGTCAGGAGTATACTGTTTTGTGTTGGTCTCAGCCTATTTATATATCAAGACTGGCCCTTAGACTTCTTATTATGATTGCAAAATACCCTTCAGCAAAAAACATCAGGAGAGACACTAGGACCTGTCCCTTCAGTTAGGCACAAGAAGGGAGCAAACAATCAGGGTACTTTGAAAAAATAGAGGTTTATCACTTAGGTTATGGTGGCAGGCTGAGGGGCACCCAGGGCCCCTGAGCCTATCTGCTTTAAATGGGTTCTGCTATCCTCAATATAAAGACAGACATACTCTTAATGTTTAAGACTTTCAGTAGAAAAGAAGTTTAATACAATTAGCGTGCAATAGAGACAAGAGAAAGAATATAGTTAAAATAGTTTTCCCATGAGACACCCAAAGTTACCCATTCCCTTGTGGGTAAATGCCCAACCAAACAGGGTTGGCCCAAAGCAGGGCCATTGAGGCCCAAAAGCTTGGCAATAGTCTAAGGCACCTTTTGGTGGGGACCCATAGGAGAGAGGCAGAAAGGGCCAGGCAAGTCTGGAAGAAAAGGAGCAAAATCAAAATACAAGTCAAGATAAAGGCTGCCATTGTCAGTCTCCCTTACGGTCTCTCACCTACATCTCTTCAAGGGTCTCCTTCTGTGTCCCCCAATTTCAAGGCTGAGCAGCAAGCGCGACTTTTTCACATGTTTCTGCTCCACCTCCCTCCTCCAATCTAGTCTTCTTGCTGTTCAGTTCCACCCTTCCTTGGGAGGAGCCTCCCCTTTTTAAGGATATCACACTGTTAAAATGACAAGACCTGGAAATTGCACAGCACACATGTGCAATAGTGGGTCATAGTGAGGTTGTAGGGAGAGAGAGAGAAATGAATGGAGAGAAGAGGGAGGGAGAAAGAAAAAGGGAGAGGGAGGGGTGCTCTGGGGTTCTATTTTTATTGGGACTGAGGGTGGGGGTGAGTCTTAGGGTTTCATGGGATCATTCTTTATTGGTGAATAAAAAATCATAAGAACTGAAATTTAAAGTGCAAGAAGAGAGACAAAGAAGGAAAAAGAAACAAAACAAGTCAGTCTCAGTTGACCAGTTCCCCAAAACAATCAATATGTATAAAACAAGCCCGACTGGGCAGAGGCAGGCTGATCTTGTGTTTGAGTTGGCTCTGTGAAGCAGATGCCCCTTTGATATGGCAGTCTGGGGCAATCAAAGCTTAAATTAGGCACTTGCTTTACTTTCAACTCTGTGAACTTACACGTGCCTATATAAAAATGAAAAAAATTTTTTCAATGGGTAACTTCCTGCTTTAAAAGAGGTTGTGTAATTACTCTCTATTTCCGGTTATAATCAATTCTGTTTCATTCATCACTATAAGGTTTCAACTGCAGGTGGTGCAGGATGTAATCTGCTGTAAGACGAGAAGCATGAGCATAATCCCATGACCTGTGAACTTGTGCCTGAAATGCAGTGTCTGCTTGCTTCCCTTGCTGACTTGTGTGCCTCTTACAGGCAGGGATGCAACATATATTGGTATTTTTCTGCCTTGTAGGAGCATGGTCAGAGTTGGACTCTAGACCATGAGTGTATGGGTGTGAATCACGGCTCTGCCACGTCCTCGATTATGGCTTGGGGTAGTTTCCTAGCCTCTCTCTGTGACTCAGCTTCTCTTCTATAAAACGGGTTATTATGAAAATGGGGACCTGTTTCATAGGATAATTGGAAGGAGTGATTCCATACTTGTAAAGGACTTAGAACAGTGCCTGGCACACTGTAAAGCACATACTAAATGCCAACTAGTATTATTATTATTTTTTACATTTTCTTTCATTTCATTTTTGTTTTTCATTTCATTTTATTTGTAACCCCCTAAGCAAGGACTCACCAGGGCTTGATACATGGGGCTCTGATCCCAACAAGTGAGGGGCCAGAGAACTGGGCACCTGAGACCTATGCTGGGTGCAAGGGTGATGGGCAGCCTGTGTCTAACTGGAATGAAGGGGATAACCTGAGACATGTAACTACTGGGGAGATACCCAGGTGGAAAAATGGGTGGGCCACACCTACCAGCCCTCAGTCTGAATGTGCTTGACAGAGAAGGAAACGCAATACAAAAGTCAGGGTGAGGAAGGACAGGTGAGGCAAAACCTGCTAGGAGAGGATGATGGGGAGGGTAGGACTGGAGGTGCACCGGACCTTCAGCCATGAACAGGTATAGGGCTTGGTGCATTGGTATACCTACCTCCTTGGCTCAGGCATTTCCTGCTTCTAGAAACAAAACAAATAACTGGGCTTGTGGTCACTTATATATTTCCCTGGCTCAGGTGACTGATTGACAGGTAAGAAATGAGACAGAGCCCTTTTACTCTCATTGTGTGGTGGATTCATGGGCAGAGGGTCCTGAATTCACTCTTACATCAGACTGAGACTGAGCAGCAGAACAATGTTAATCACTTTGAAGTGGAAGACATCATCTGGTCATCTCACACCCTCCCTCCAGGCCTTCTTTATTTTCCAACTCCCCTTTTGGTAGTTTTCACCAGGAACCCTGCTTTGCTGGATCACAGTCTATTTTTTTTTAAGATTTATTTTTTATTTATTTATGTATAATAGAACTGGGGTGTAGGCCAGAGGTGTGGGGGGTGTTGGTGGTGAGAGGATTCACCAGAGACAGAGTGGGGAGCAGAACAGGCAGATCTACTGGAATACACTGCTGAGGGGAGCAGCGGAGACAGGAGAGATCTGCTGTACCATGTGGGTCAGCTCCCTGGCTGGGGCTCGAACTGCTGCAGCGGCTGCGGATAGCTTCATAGTGCTGAAACTTAACCCCTGCGCCATTAGGGAGGTCCCAGATGATGCCCTTAATTATGTGTACACTTCATTTCTTCATTTCATCTGAGCAGCGTGAGGCATCTTATGAATACTTACGTGGGGTAAGGCATCTTATGCTTACATGGGGTTTCCTCTAGACAGAGGAAGTTAACTGCCTAGTTAATTTTGTCATTTGGTTATGTTGAACATTTGGGTGGAGTGGGATGATAAATATTATTGCTGACTGAAACAAGGGCTGTGAAAGAAACTAACAGTAATATAAGACTAACTTATGCTTTGTAAAATTTATTAAAAATCCACTGTATATATAGCAGGTTCTTTCATAAATCCTTTACATGAATTCTCACTTAATCTTCATAAATAATTATGTACATAAATAGTTGCACACTACTATCCCCGTTTTTTTTAATTTATCCCCATTTTTAAAAAAGATTTATTTATTTATGCATACAAGAACTGGGGTACAGTCCAGACAGAAGTGTGTGTGTGAGAGGATTCACCAGAGACAGAGTGGGGAACACAAAAAGCAGATCTACTGAAATACACTGCTGAGGGGAGCAGCGGGCAAGTCAGGAGAGGTCTGCTGCGCCATGTGGGTATCTCCCTGGCTGGGGATCGAACTTGTGCTGCAGTGGCTGGGGATAGCTGCATCTCAACCTCTGTGCCACCACGGAGGCCCTACTATCCCCATTTTCAAGGTGAATAAGCAGAACCCAGTGAACTTCCAGTAACTGTTTTCTAGTTCCTGATAGAGCTGGGATTTTTAAGCTTGACTCCAAAGCCTCTGTCTTGAGCTATTTTGCTGTATTGGAAGTTCTGTGAGGGCAGGAAACTTGCCCATCTCTTTTAATATATGCCTGGCATATGGTCCTATCAGAACAGTGCCTGGCATATCAAAGTTCAATAAATATTTGTTGGGTGAATGAATGAAGGACTAAGCTCTGCTGGTCTCAGTGTGTTTCTAAAACTGTTCCTTTGTATCTGTACAATCTGGCAGACTCTCATACCTACCTTCACCTGTCCTTAAAAAAATCAGACTTTTGTCCAAAGAGTGTGCAAGTCCCCCAAACATTTCTAGAGTTCTTTCTTTACCCAGTAAATGTTTTCTGAGCACCGGCTATATAAGTTAGGTGTGCTTGGCCCTGTGTGAAGCACATGTGGTTGGCAAGGGGAGTCTGGGCTCAGAGCCCTGCTGTGAACAAGATAAAGGTGGATTTTTGTTTTTGAAAGAATCCTTACAGAGCTCAGTAACCTATTCTGGAACAGGCATAGAGGCTTAAGAATTTGGGGTTAATTCTATCCCTGTACCTATATTACCAGGATACTTATTACAGCTTATTGATTTACTTATTTGAGCTCTATAATTTACTTTAATGCTTCATAGGGTAAGCTCATTATTCCTATTTTTCAGATTTCTCCTGAAAATTATCCACAAACCACTGATTGTTAAAAGATTATATTTTTTATGTAATATTTATTCTCAACCAGCAGTAAGTCTTCACATTTATTCAAGATTTCTTTACTTGAAAAGACTACTTATTTGATGACTTTATGTAAATTTTTAATTTTTCCCCTATAGATCATTAACATTTATTGCTATTTTCCTAGATTGTGTGTTTGTATGATGGAGTTGTGTGTGAAGTGAATATTTCTGTAGTTAATGGATATTTTCTGTTCTATCATTTTGTTCCATTTACTGCTATTGTTAGTGGCTGGGTATTTTAAATAAATTGTTTGTTTGTTTTTCTTTAAAAAAAAAAAAGAATTTGGGGTTAAATAATGTCAGCTCGGTAGAATTAAGAAGTCAGTCATTAGGGTTGTGCTGTTTGTCAGTAACCTAACAATGCCTTTGTCAGCCCATGTTCTCAGGACCTGGCAAAGCACTGGACCTTTGATCTTGTTAGGGATGGAAAAGGAAATGTCTTACATCCCAGACAGATGGACCCGGAGACTTAACCTAAAGCACTGCATAATTTTAGGCTCCTCAATAAAAAATATATTTGCCCATTTCTTGCTTGCTTTTGTGGAAAAGTTTGAAAAAATTTCCATACTTTTTAACCATACTAAGACTTAAATTTTTCTAGCAGAAACTGCAAATTTTCTGGAACAGAATAGTTAATACAAAAGGAATTACTAGTAATCATTTATGGTTTCAAAAATGGTTTATCATCTCAAGTGTATATTAAACCCTCTTGATGAGTCTGTCTCAACAAATGAAAAGTCAGATTTATAGCAGATTGTCCCCCCAGCCCACGTCCTCACTCACGCATTCTTAATTCTTCACCTCTTTCTCCTATCTGGTGACCTTTCTTTTGTCCTGTTTTGGGGACCCCAGCTTAAATTATACCTTTCCCAAAGTCTCATCTCCAGGTGTCTGGGAACACACCCACCTGCCCTTCTCCTACCACCTGTCTTGCCTCTGGTTCGCTGTACTGGGCGATATGTCTATCACTGTTTCATGCACATTTACAAACTTTGCTTCCCCAACAAGATAATAAGCTCCTTGAAGGACAGGAATATATACTGCATCTGTATTCCCTTGTTACAGTGTTTCTATAACACAGGAAGGGGAACATTGCAAAACATGGATTTTAGGGTCAAATAAATTCTAGAAATGCTGAATAATTTGTTCCTCTTTCAGACAGTTGCACTGCATGTTGGTCTTAAGTCTCTGAGGAAATCTATTTTTGTCTTGTCCACTTTACATTTCCTATTCATGTTTGACCTCAGAAATCCCCTTTCCCAAGAATATCCTGTCAGACTGCTGTTCCACTTGTGTGTGCGCTCTGGGAACTAGAGCTGGGCTTATCAAAGGCCTTCAGTGGTGACTGTAAATGGGCTGATGAAGCCTCCCTTCTGTCATATGTATTCCACATATTTACTCCCCTTCCCCCTTTCATAGGCAGTGATAAATGTGCACTAGCAACGGGGAGCACTGACTCTAGTTCTTCATGAATTTTCTTGTGCTGACTGCTAGCCCAGAAGAACACCCCTCTCATTTGGGGATGTTGATTTTTAAAAGAACAGCTGACGTTTACAGAGCTCGGTCTGGGATGGGAGTGGGGTTTCCAAGGTAGGTAAAGGAGAAGTGCAGTTCATTGCAGGCTTATTTTCTTAACTGCAGACTTCTGCAGTTCATTGCAGGCTTATTTTCTTAACTCAGCACCCAAGTTTTTCTTTCCCAGTTTGCGGGAAAGGACAAGACAGTGACTGATACACATGACACGGAATTTGCCTTCTTTGAGCCCATTTTAGTTACTGAGATAGAATCCTCCTTCTGGATTCTAAGGAGATGGACGCCATGAGAGAGGCACACTGCAGGCTCGGTGATGTGAGGCTTGAAGTGGCCGCCATTGTTTTCTTTAAAATTCTCATCTTATATTTGAAGAAGTGCTCATCGTTTGCAAAGCATCTTTACAATCTCACTAGATCCTGTCAGAAGTTCAGAAATAGCAGAAGCAAAAATAATGTCATTGAAGTAGTAGTAATAAGTTAAAGCTTGTTGTGCACATACTTAAACAGTTCTTGAACCCAGAGCATTTAAACCAAGTGTTACTGGGCAGAGGTGAGGGTCACCTCAGAACCCCCAAATCTGCATGCTCTAAATAGGTTTTGCCGTCTGCTGCATCAAGACAAAACATCACTCTGGTATGTTAAGACTTTAATGGAAAGGAACTTTAATACAATTAGTGTATTAAATATTATACTAATTGGCTTAATAAATAAAGAGAAGAGAAAGAAGAAAGTTTTTAAATCAGGCACCCAAAGTTACCCATGCCCTCATGAGTAGCTGCCCAGCCAAACAGGGTAGGCCCAAAGCAGGGTCACTGAGGCCCGAAAACTTGCCACAAGCCTAAGGTACCTTCTGATGGGGGCCCACAGGAAAGAGGCAGAAGTGCCCAGGACATCTGGAATGAAAGGAGCAACATCAATATCAAGATAAAGGCTGCCATTGTTAACCTCCCCATAGGTATCTCACTCATGCCTGTTTCAAGTATTTCATTACATGTTCCCCAAGTCCCTGGTACAAGTCCAAGGCCAAGAAGCAAGCATAGCTTCTTCACATGTCTCTCTGCTCCATGTGCCTCCTCCAGGTCTCCTGGCTCTCCATCCTGGTTCCTTCTCCCATTGTCCTGTCCTGTCCAGCTTCTCCTCTTCCCTGCTCAGCTCCACCCTTCCCTGGGTGGAGCAGGGAACCCGGAATCTCCTCTTTGCTTGGGGACCACCCAGATATGCAAGCATGGAGTGAGGCTTAGACATGCATTGTTATCAAGCAATTTATAGAGTGAGGAGCCAGAGACTGTCTCTGAAACTCTTATTGAATAAATGATAGGGAATTGGTCAGTGGTTACCACCTGTTAATTATAGGGAACAGTTTCAAGCTTTGCTTATGATTTTCAGAGGCATAAGCAAGAAGCCAGCCAGTCAGCTTAGTCTCATTTTTCTTGCAAAATAAGCTAAATTAAGCTTGGCTTGTATGACCAAACTGTGTCCAAGGTATTTTATTTTATTTTATTTTAACATTTTTTTTATTTTTATATCCCCCATACAATTGCAACCCCCTTATTTTGACCCCAGTCATGTCCAAGGTATTTTAAATCTGGCCACCATTTGTGTTTTATTTTAACAATCCTCACAGTCACTTTTGCAACACATGGTGTAGTCATTAGTATTAAACCCATTTTGTAGATGAATAAACCAGGGCTGGTAACTTGTTCAAATTGTACTATCACTATACCTTGATCCTAGAAATTAGACTGAGCTACAACTGTGTTCTTGCTGGCCCAAGAAAGTAAGTTGCAGATGCCAGTCAGTGTCGATACCCATTTCACTGCACTGTCTGACTGAGGAAAGATGGGATGTTAATGGGAAATATCAGCGCAATGATGTGTCTTGAGTGACTGGGTTACCAGAGGGCTATGTATGGGGCTGAGGCCCATCCAGATGTGGTCTTATTTTTGGCACCGCCAAATGGTTTTTGATTTTATCTCCAGCTTCAGTTTTTTTTTTCCCTCCTGTCCTGTTAAGTAAGGACTTGCTGCCCCAGACCTTGGGTTCCCATTCTTAGCCCCTCTGCCGCCATAAATTAGTCCTTTTTCAGTGCTAGGCAAGGTTCCGACCCAGCGAGTAGGCAGAGAAGCCAGGAAGACATGGACAGCATTTGTTCTGTCCCCTAACCCCTGCATGAAGAAGGACACTGTGCTTCTTTCAAGGACTTTGACAGGGAGATATCTATGACTTAGGGAGCCTTTGGAGGAAGTGAACCAGTCTGAGATAACAAGTAAATAAAAGAACTTTGAGACCAGTGTATCCCTGTCCGCTTCTGCCCCCTAGAGGAGAGAATGCTCCATGACTAGAGACTTGTGACACAAAAGGAAGAGTTTGGAATAAAACAGTATTGATGGAACTGGGGTCCTCAGCCAGGTTCTCTCATTGTATTGATCTGTGTTTCAACCCAAGAGTCGACAGGGGCACAGAAACCTTGCCTCCACTCTCAGAGGCCATGCCTGGGGGTATTGCTTTTGGGTCTTTTCTGCCACATTGATCTGAGAAGACAGGTGAGTTACCATGTTTAGTAGGTTAGCGGCAACCTGTGACATGCCCCTCATTTCCCTGATATTACTTACTTTTCACTGGATTTTAAGGAGATTGAGACCTTATTCATATTTCTAAATTATTATGTGATTCATAATTAAAAAATTTCTTAACCCTTACCTGTGGGCCAGGATAAAGCAAGGAAGAGTCTCTCAGGAAGTTGTATTAGATGTCAGCCAGGGTCTTCTGACTGGAGGATCTTCTTGGGTAGCCTGGAAGTTGGAGTGAGACCTCACTGCTTCATGTTGGACTACACATCCCATTCATTAGAAACGCTTTTACCAAATGCAGTTAGCAAGTGACGTCCACATTGAAGAGGAGGAGAATCATACTCTTATTTTAAGGGAAGAGGTGTCACAGTCTCTTGGGCTAGTCTTTTGGGCCTCCCTGGTGGAGCAAGGGGTTAAGCACAGCACTGTGAAGCTATCCGTAGTCTCTGCACCACAAGTTCAGTCCCCCAGGGAGCCATCCATATGGCATAGCAGACCTCTCCTGTCTCGCCTGCTGCTCCCTTCAGCAGTGTATTTCAGTCAGTCTGCCTGTTCTGTTCCCCACTCTGTCTCTGGTGAATCCTCTCACCCCCTGCACCTCTGGCCTGTATACCAGTTCTTGTATGCATAAATAAATAAATCTTTAAACAAAGAAATAAGCCCAGTCTCCTGAGGGGACCATTCTGCTAGACCCCAGTGAGGGTGTACAGATAATTGCTCACAGGCTGAATGAATTAACTTCAACCCAGTTTTTGTTTATCTAGTGACTGGTTAGTTCAGTCTTTTGTTGACCCAAGGCAGTGTCTCTTTTCCTAATTCATATTTTTCCTATTTCCTGCTGAGAAGACAGAGAATTTACAAATGCTTACCTTCACTTTTGTAATTTGTAGTTGACAAGTTTGCAGGGTAAGAGGTTGAAACTATTGGTTGAAGCCATGAGTCTTTGAAGTATCTGTGACTAGCTAGACTTTATATTGATCCCACTTAGGGTAGAGAATTGAGAACTCAATTCTCAGTTGAGAACTCAATTGAGAACTCAATGATTATGACATAGCCCTAGTTATTTATGTTTCCTCCATCCTTTTCTATGATGCCTCAACTAGTATGACATGGGGCCCCTTATTCCTTGGTGGAAGTTGTTCTAATTAGTATGCGTTGTTTGGTTTGGGGTAAATGAAGTGGTAACTTTCTGGAAGACCCACCAAGGGGAGGAAGACAGGTAACTAATAGTTTGGGTGACAACCTGGATTGGGCGATGCTTGGTTAGCCTCTGGGTTTAGGACAGAACCATTTTTCTGCATGGGGGATGTATTAAGAACTGGGGGTATCCCTCAGACACGGAACAGAAACTTAATGGGTGGCTTAAAAGGCAATGGAATTTTTGAATGAAGAAGAGAAAGAACGTTCTTTGTTCGTAACAGGAGGCTGTGTTTATTTCTCCAACAAAGGAAACAGATGAGAAACAAGGGGGCTGGGTATGATATCGAGGGCTCCAAAGTCAAGACACTTCTGAAAATAGACAAAAAGATGTGTAAAAAAGGGCCTAGGAACTAATTGTTTTTGAACACCAGGAGCTTTATTTGTATTATTTATCCTTGTAGCATTCTCATAGGGTGGGTATCATCACTTCCATTTGAAACTGAGAGACCCACTTCCTCAAGGTCATGCAGCCCGTAGGCGTGGTAAGGTCAGTGATAGAAGGCAGGCTCTTGTGGCATAATGTTTGCTTTTTCCACTACTTCAGACTGTTTCTGGAGGCAAAGTCATCCAGGATTCTTGGAAGCTAGGAGAAAATTTGGGATAGGGAGTACCATAGGGAATCTGTCAAGGACTCTCCCTTCTTGGGGAGAGGTTACAAGGGAAAGTCATGAGAGGAACTAGGGAGTCTTGAAATTGTCACAATTTAGGTTGGTCTAGAAGGGGCTTCAGCCTGTGCCTGTGGCCAGAGGTGGTGACCTCAGGCAGGGAAGAGAGTGTGGCAGGGACAGACCATTACTGTGCCTTAACTATGGCGCAAAAGCAGAAACAGACAGAATAGATTAGATTGGGCTTCATAGCGCTCCCCGCTGTCTCTTGAGCTTTTCTCACTCTGTCGTTTTCCGTGTTTGTTTTTTTCCAGAGGTTCTTCGGGACACCTTCGCTTCCCTGGGCTATCAAGTCCAGTATTTCCTCTATCAAAGTGTGAGAAACATAATCCAAATCCTCCACAAAGTTGCCCGTATGCCGCAACACCAGTACTACGACAGCTTCGTGTGTGTGCTGGTGAGCCGAGGGTGCTCCCAGAGCGTGTTTGGAGTGGATGACGCTCACTCGGGGTTCTCTTTGGAGCAGATCAGGAGGATGTTCATGGGAGACGCATGTCCTTCCCTCTTAGGGAAGCCAAAACTCTTTTTTATTCAGAACTACGTGGTTTCAGAGAGGCAGCAGGAGGACAACAGCCTCCTGGAAGTGGACAGCCCAGCAGTGAATAATGCAGAAGCCACGGACAGGCAGCCCGGGCCATGCACAGTTCACCGGGAAGCTGACTTCTTCTGGAGCCTGTGCAGAGCGGACGTGTTCCTGCTGGAGCGGGCCTCCACCGCGCCCTCGGTGTACCTGCAGTACCTCTCCCAGAAACTGGGGCAAGAAAGGTGAGCCACTGAGGCCATGGCTGATCCCTGGGTCACAGGTTTCCTGCTTCCCAGATAGCATTTAATCACTGTGCCGTTCTTCAGGGAGGAAAGGGGATCTTCCATTCCTTGTGGGGGTTCCCTTAGGGTGTGATCTAGACTTGCAAATTTATGAACACTTTTTCCTCAGGAGGTCACATATTAGCTTGTAGTTTAGGTATTTTTCTTTAAAATTATGAAATTTTTTTTTTTCCTTATTACAAAAACAATACATAGCCCTTGTTGGGAAAAGCCACGAAATACAGAAGCTGAAAGCAGAACATAACAAGCAGTTAGAATCTTATTCATTAGAATCCACCACTGTTAATCAAATGGTGTTTTGCTTTCCAGAACTTTTTTGGATATACCGCTACATACATACATACATTTATAAAATACTTACAGTGCACATAAGTACATAACCATATGTAAATGTATTTCATGTCAAAATGGAATCATCTATTATTATCACCTGCTTTAGTCATTGGACAGTTTATTGCTTTCACAAATAAAAGGCATTCACCATTTTTTTAGCTTAGTATTTGTGTTTGTTTTCTTGAAAACTATTCTCAGAGGTGGAATCACGATGTCAAACGACATGCATTTTAAAAATCCTTGATGCATCTTCTCAGATTGTTCTTTAGGACACTTGCAACAGTTTTGTGTGACAGTGCCTGGGTCCCCAGATTCTCACCCACATTGTCTACTTTTTTATCTCCCCAAGTCTTAACAGATTGATAAGTGAAACACGTTATCTGACTATTCAGGACTATAAATCTTTGTTATGTAGACATTTTGATGTTTATTGGGAAGGATATTTTTCAAAGGACAACATTTGTGACTGGGTCCACTTAAGCAGAATGAGGCCACAATGTACCTCCAATGTAAGGTTAGCAGTCCTTTTTCAGTTGCTCCTTAATTGCAATTGAGAATGAGATTTCTGAGCCACCTGGCAAATGTATTCTATTGTAGCTGTGAGGACCCTGGGAATTAATCTCACGGTCCCAGACCCCCAGTGGTTACTGAGGCATGAGGGAGGGCTGGAGCAGCAGAGATTCAGCCTTCCTAGGTACATGCTTTGTGGACGAGTGGTATTATCGACCTTTTACATCCATCCTGCATTTGCTTGAGTGATCCAGGTGGGTCAATGACTGGTGTGTTCCCAGAGTAAAACCAGTTACCGGTTGGGGGAGGCGACTGTCATCACTGTACCACAGTGATCCAATTCAAATCATTAAGCAGCCTGAAGAGTATTTAGAAAAGAACAATCTTAAAACTCTTTCAAGTCTGTTGATGCATATCACTCTAATGACTGTCTATCTTCTCTTTGATATTTGCATGGCATTAATTTATGCCTTCCTTGTTCCCGCCAGCAAACGCCCTCTCCTGGATCTCCATCTTGAACTGAATGACCGCGTGTATGATTGGAACAGCAGAGTGTCTGCTAAGGAGAAGTACTGTGTTTGGCTGCAACACACTCTGAGAAAGAAACTCATTCTTTCTTACAAATGAAATACTGAAAGCTCTCTTAAGCCCTGCTCTGCCCCTCAGTCTCCATCACTTGTCAGAGTAGCCTGCAAGCAAGTGTGCATAAGTGATGAATGTGAGGCGAGGTCCTGGTCCATGCTGAAAAAGACCCTTGGGGAAGAATGCTTGGCTGGAAAGGTGTCTGAGCTTCGAAGATGAGGTATTGATCTCTATTGTGAAACAATGTTTGCATGAAACAGCTCACTAGGTCAATGAGGGAAAGAAAAAGACTTGGAAACTTTAAAAACCTAGCACTGGTTGAATTGAGCATCTCAGGAACATGTTGCCTTCCATGGTAAAGGTCAAGCAAACAGCTACAGAAAGGCTCATTCAGAGTGTCTGCAATCTCAAAGTAACCTGTGGGAATCCATGCTCCATACAGAAAAGAAAAACCAAAATACAAAGCAATGAAATTAGAATTTAACAAACCCCCATAATATTTATCAGAGGCAGCCACAGTTACCCAAAACTTTGGTGTATTGCTTGCCGAAAGTTTTCTTTCAGTTTTCACATTTGTATTGGGTGCCATAGGAGAGAAACCCTCTGCCCTGTTGGTGGAGGTGCTCACACTGTTTCTTTGGTCATGTCAAGCTTGGGCCCTGGGGCTCGGGGAGTATCTGGCAACATTGGACATGTCCCTGGCATCTCCGTGGGACACGGGTGTGCTTTGCTTGTTTTTGGTGGTGTGCTTTGTGTAGGGGTTGAGAGGAGGCAGAATTATAGGCACCTAGTCCCTCATTGGTGAGGGACTGAACCAGCACCAGCTCATTGGTCCAGCCATTCTTGAGGAAGGCAGTGAGTCTGGCTGCCATCTTGGTCTCAGCAGCCTGCAATTTTTTTTTCCATACACAATATCTAGATGTAAGACAGCATGACTGTCTTAGTTTAGGCTGCTAATAACAAATTGTCACGGAATGTATGGCTGAAACATTTATTTCTCACTGTTCTAGAGACTGAATTCCAAGATAAAGATGTTGGCAAATATGGTGTCTGGTGAGACTCTGCTTCTAAGTTTGCAGACAATCACCTTCTGCTTCCGTCCTCGCAGCGAGCAGAGAGAAAAAGGAAGCAAGTTCTTTTCTGTCTCTTTCTCTAAGGCCACTAATCCCGCTCATGAGGGCTGCACTCTCATGACCTAATTACCTCCCAAAGGCCCTACTTCCTTGGTGATTAGGATTTCAACCTTTGCATTTAGAATGGACACAAAGCATTTGATCCAGAATGCTGGCAAAGCCCCTCTGTCAGAATGGGACTCTAGGTAGTGCGCTGTGGATTCTGCCTAAAACTCAGATTTAACTTTTAATTTTTTTAAAGATCTCAAGTTGTTCAGTGTTCTTCAGTGCACAGCAACCTTGAAAGTGCCCTCTGTCATTGCTCTTCACTTTGTATTTCCTTTTACTCTTCAACCCTGTTGCCTGTAGCCTCTTTTCCCCAGCATTTGTTGTGGGCTAGCACTATAGAATATTTGATGTAGCTCCTCAAATAGGCATACATTCAACCTTATAAATGAGTTTTGTAAACTTGTGTTTTTCACTTATGTAAATAACATGCTATAAAAACAAAATACCAGTCCTTAACACTGGTAGCTTGTCCATTCATCTTGGGACTTAATGGTATTTTATTGTTAGTCAGGTACACTGCATACTTGTTTCTTTCTTGGATGGGATGACACGTCCTAAAAAGAAAATGCTGTTTTAAAAATCTCACTTGAAGGCTTTTTAAAATTTATTTATTTTTATATTTTTAAGTTGGTTGTAAGTGGTATGTGTCTCTGTGTTGTTTGTTTTGACATGGTTACTAAACAAAGGTTGAAAAACTTAGAAAGCAGAGTTTTCAGACTATTTATAAGTAGTTATTTCTACTTTACTGGATGCCTGATGATCTTTGAAGTACATATTGCTGAGGGATGCCTGCAGGAATAATGTATGTACTTGGTCTTCTGAGCCAGAACCCCACGTTCATTATTAGAGAGGGAAACTGTTGGAGAGGGATCTTAATGACCTGGCAGTTTTGGTGTCCTTCTCTGTCCCGTCCAGCCAGGGGAGAGCATTTTTCCACTTATTCTATTTTTTTATTATATATCAAAATAGCACATTAATATAACATTTTGGGTGGGATCATTGCTACTTTTACAAGTATCTTTCCTCAAAATGCTTCTTTGTCTCACAAATGTACAATGAAAAATGCACAAATGAAAAGTATTTATTTATATTACTTAATAATTTTAAATAGTTTTCTATATTACTAAGAAAACAAGGGGGATTGAGAGGGATCACAGCCCCTGTGTTCTTACACAGGGGACTATGGTGATGGTGCATGGGTGAATACCTGAGAAAAGAAAGCAAACATTGTAGAAAAATGAGCAATGATGTAAAATATATATAAATAAATATTTTTTTTTAAAAAAGAGGGACCTCCCTGGGATTAATTCAGTCTTACAGCTATCAAGTTATCACCAGCCACTGCAGCATGAGTTGGATTCCCCGGCAGGCCAGGTAGCTGACCCAAATGGCGCAGCAGACCTCTCCTTTCTCTCCTGCTGCTCCCCTCAGCAGTATATTTCAGTAGATCCTCCTGTTCTTCTCCCCAGTCTGTCTCTGGTGAATCCTCTCACCCCTTGCACCTCTGGCCTGTACCCCTGTTCTTGTATGTATAAATAACTAAATAAAATAAGTCTTAAAAAATCAGAATATAGGGCCTCCCTGGTGGCGCAGCAGTTGAGCGCTGGGTTGTGAAGCTGCCTGCAGCCTCTGCGGCGCCGGTTCGATCCCCGGCTGCTCCCCGGCCACCGGAGGAGGGTCCCGTATGGCGCGCAGACCTCTCCTGCCGCCCGCTGCTCCCCTCAGCAGTGTACTTCAGTCCCTCTGCCTGCTCTGCTCCCGCTCTGGCTCTGGTGAATTCTCTCACCCTCCCGCGCTTCTGACTGTACCCAGTGCATGTATAAACAAACAAACAAACAAATAAATAAATAAAACATGCCTCTATAAAAAATAAATAAAAATAAAATTTAAAAAAAAATCAGAATATAAAAAAAATGAACCTACCATATGTCCCAGCAATTCTATTCCTAGGCATCTACCCAAAGAATACAAAAACACTACTTGAAGGGATATGTATTCCCATGTTCATTGCAGCCATATTTACAGTAACTAAGTTATAGAAACAGCCTAAGTGTCTAAGGAAGTAGATCAGAAAAATGTGGTATACACTGTGTGTGTACACAGTGGAATGCTACTCAGCTGTAACAAAGATGAACTGCCATTTGAGATAACCTGAATGGAACTGTATAGGATAATGTTAAGTAAAATAAGTCAGAAGGAAAAAGAAGCACAGGCTAGGGTCTCACTTATATATGGAATATAGAGAAACATAACAAATGTCAGTAAAAACAAATCAATAATAAGCTTTTAACATCTGGCTGTAAAACTGAGGCAACCAGAGGAGGAGGGTCCTAGTCCTAGGGACTAGGACCCAAAGGAATATGATGGAAGATTGTTAGGACACTGGTGGTAGACAGGGTGTGAAAGAATACATTCGTAGAGGTTTGAACCTATAATCCCCAGAGTAGATACAAAGATGTAAAACTACCTCAACAAACACAATTCTGGAAAGAAAAAAAAAAACCCCACAATAAAAACTCAAAACACAGGGCCTCCCCGGTGGCGCAGCGGTTGAGCGCTGGGTTGCGAAGCTGCCCGCAGCCTCTGCAGTGCTGGTTCGATTCCCGGCTGCTCCCCGGCCACTGGAGGAGGGTCCCACATGGCGTGCAGACCTCTCCTGCCGCCCGCTGCTCCCCTCAGCAGTGTACCTCAGTCTGCCTGTTCTGCTCCCCGCTCTGGCTCTGGTGAATTCTCTCACCCTCCCGCGCTTCTGACTGTACCCAGTTCTTGTATAAATAAATAAATACATCTAAAAAAAAAAAAAAACAACTCAAAACACAAAAGCTGAACTTCTATTAATAAGGAAAAAGTAGGATATGGAGCTTCACTGTGGGGTAGTGAACATTAGCTATATCAAAAGAATGAGAACAATCATTTTATGATTGAAGAAACTGAGGCACACAGTTTTTAAGTGACTTGGTCACAAATATCAGAGAATAAGACATTGGTAGTACCAGGTCTGGAATATTATCAACCCATCTTAGGATCTTTAGACATTAGAACAGTAGAAATATGTAACACATTCCTGGGAGGCGTCATCTCTCTGCTCCTTGTGAGTCATTATTCTACCTTCCCAGCTCCTGTCCTCTCCCTGCAGAAATAAAAGCAGGACCATAGATCTCACCTTATCCTATCTGCCTATCATGGTGAAAATATAAAACTTGGGCCTTCCTGATGGTGCAAGGATACTATGAAGGTATCCTCAGCCACTTCAGCACAAGTTTGATCCCTGGCTAGGGAGCAAACCCACAGGGCACAACAAACCTCTCCTGTCTCACCCACTGCTCCCCTCAGCATTGTATTTCAATCAATCCGCCTGTCTGCTCCCCACTCTTTCTCTGGTGAATCACTCCCCCACACCTCTGTCCTATACCCCAGTTCTTGTATGCATAAATAAATAAATCTTAGAAAAGAAAAAAAAAATATAAAACTTGGCAAATCAGCATTTTTTTTCCTCTTAAAAAAACCAATCATTTATATTGTACCTGTGTTTATTTACTTTGGTATGTTTCTTTTTTGTCTTTGAATTGCATTATTTTTATTAAGATCAACTATCAATCAATCCTCAGGTCCCCAAGAGAGGAATGCTAAGTGTGTATTTTGCTCACTGGCAAGGGTTATGAGGTAAAGAGGAATTGTAAGTCCAGATCAATGCTGACAAAATGGGGGAAAGCCCTTGCCTCCCCATGCCCACTTGACCGAATTGATTTGAGGATGAAATGAAAGTGCCTTTGTGATTACACCAAGAAAAGAATCTTATAATTTTATTTATTTAGTTTTCTTAGATACAAGCCTTTGACTCTGCATTTACTTTTGGGATTGAAGTATGCACAGGTAGATAAGTTGGGACTCATTCAGTTGAAAATGAGAAAACACTACACAAATCAACCTCCTCAGTGACTATTAGACTGTACCTTTTACTCCCTTCACAGTCCCAATCCTCCTGACTTCCTTTTTCCATAATATTTACCACCTCTTAACATGTTATAACATATTATCATCTTTCTTTTTTTTACTTTTTTTAACTTTTAGTACTGAGGTAACATTGGTTTCTAACATTGCATATGATTGAGAGATACAGGTTATACCTCTTCAGATGCTTGTTATCACACCACACCCACCACCAAGGCACCTGTAGTCCTCTCCCATAGTCCACTGGGCTCTGAGCCCTTCTTCTCTCCCTGGGTGGCCCTGGTGAGAGAGTTCTTGTGACTGCTTTGGTGATGCGATGTGAATGTAGCTGTTACTGTACTATAGTATTGAGGAGTTGTTTTGAAAACCCAGCCTTGAAAAAGTTGGTGGGATTTTGGCAAGATGAGATGGAGAAGAGAATATGTTGCAAGAGAGGAAGTCAGTGACGTGAAGGGTCAGAGAGATGAAAATGCAAGGCATTTTCTAGAAATCTTGAGTGTAACTTTTAGCTGGAATGGAGAGAACGTGAGCAATGGTGGGTGGTATAACAGAGATGGTCACAGTTGGTGTGTGAAGAGACTTAAAGGCCCCATCTTTGTCTGTTAGTCAATTCTCATGTAAGTTATATTTATCACTTTCATTGTGGAATCTATTAGAACAGTAACTCCTTTGGCATCTTTGCATATGAACATTTGAGTTCTAAATGTTTGTCTTATTCTTTTTCATTGGCTAGTTTTTTATGGAATTGTTTTAGAAATACTAGAGAAAACTATATAACAATACAATGTATACCATGTACCTGCAATTAAGTCTAAATAAAATATTCTGAATATATGTGAAGACTCAAGCTATTACTTTAAATATTAGTGCTAACTAGTCATAAAAGAGATAAATACACCAAGATATTTCAAACCTTATAATGGCCCCAAGCAGAATTATCCAAGTGTTCAGTAACAGGGGCATATCTATGAGATGTCCACTGATTGGAATTTTGTGTACCCACTGAAGTTACATATGTAAATAATAATCGATAACACTGAGCTATTATTAGCTCATTTTACATAAATTATCTCACTTAATCCTCAAAACAGCTCTATAAAGAGCCTTCCTGGTGGTGCAAGGGGTTAAGCACAGCACTATGAAGCAATCCACAGCCTCTGCAGCATGAGTTCGATCCCTGGACAGCCAGGGAGCTACCCACATGGCGTAGCAGACCTCTCCTGTCTCGCCCACTGCACCCTTCACCAGTGTATTTCAGTCAGTCTGCCTGTTCTGTTCCCCACTCTGTCTCTGGTGAATCCTCTCACCCCTCACACCTCTGGCCTCTACTCCAGCTCTTATATGCATAAATAAATATATATATAAAAAGAATATAGTCTTAAGTGGCTGTATCATTTTGTAGAGTTCCTATTACTCAGTATCCTTGCCAACGTTTGGTGGTGTTAGTGTTTTTTATATTTTAGCCATTTTAGTAAATGTGTGGTGGTTCACATTATTAATTTGTAATTGCTTAATGACAGCATGATGAACTCTTTCCATATTCATTTGTCATCTGTATATCTTCTTTGCTGAAAGTATGTTCAAATCCTTTGCCTATTTTTTTAATTGAGTTTCTTATTGTTGAGTTTTAAGAGGTTTTTTTTTTGAGTTCTTTGTATAGTTTGGGTAAAACTGTTCATCAGCTATATATTTGACAAATAATTTATCCCAGCCAGTGGTTTGTCTTTTCATGAACTTAATATTGTCTTTCACAGAGTAGACATTTTAAATTTTAATGAAGTCAAACACCATTTTTTTCCATGGATTGTACTTTTTGGTATTGTTTCTAAGAATTCGTTGTCAAGCTCAAGGTAACTTGTTTTTTCTTGTGTTGTCTTCTGGAAGTTAATAGAGGTTTGCATTTTACATTTAAGTCTTTAATCCATTTTGAGTTAATTTTTTATTAAAGATGTAAGGTCTGTGTCTATATTCTTGCTTTTTTTCTTTTTCATATTACGGCCCCATTTGTTGAAATGTCTGTCTTTTACCCACACGATTGCCTTTGTTTTTATGTCAAAGATCAGCTTATTTATATATTTCTGGGTCTGTATTGTGTTCCATTGATGACTGCATTTTTACACCAATACAGCTATTATAGCTTTATATTGTGTTGATGTAACCAATATTGGTGGCAAGTCGGGGATTTTGAATAAACTTAGGTATTATATATTATTGTAACTGAAATATAAAAGAAGGGTCATTACTACAAAGCAGAAAGTGGGGAGGGAATGAGTACAAGGGGTCAGTTGGTTGGTGGTGGATGTAAATGGACATTTGGTGGCGAGAGTGGTGGATAAATGTAACCTTGGAACCTATACTGTGTTATGCAATCTAAATACATGCATACATACATAGCGCATATTGCAAACACATACAATAAATAAAAATTACTTATTTGCAAAAAATGGTCCAATATATTTGTGTGTGTGTGTATATACTCAATGTATTTATTTTAAACATGAATGGCATAATATTTTGATACTGTTCTTTCTTTTCACTTATGTGGTCATATCTGTATTTCAAAGTGTGATATTTAAGTCATTCACAATTTTTCATTGTTTAAATGATGATAACGCAAAACATCTTTTCTTTCTTATTTGATAAGAACTTCCTGCCCCAGACGTGGGATTCCCATTCTTTTTTCACTCCCTTGGTTGGCATATGTTGGTCAGTTTTCTTCCAACACTGAATATTATTTCAACTGTCTGACATCATTCCTCTCTTTCTCTCTTTGATTCTTTAGTCTAAAAACAACCTTTGCCTGCCCTATCAAATAATATCCCTCTCTTTCAAGTCACTCTTTTACATAAATTTTAGGTTATAATCACTTCATTTCACCTTTCCTATTTATTCCATACTACCCTGCCATCTGAATTTCAGCTTAACCATTCTGCTAAATCTATAAGATCCAAGGGTAACATTGACCCTAATACCAAAACAGAAATCTTTGGCTTCTATGGGGCCATAGTCTTCCTACTTGGCCAGGGTATTATAGAAGTTCTATTATAGCAGTTCTTTGGTCAAGTCTTCTTGGGATCTTTCTCCTCATTAAATATGGATATTCTAAGGACCACTCCTTTATTTTCAATTTTTTATATTTTCTCTTTTGATAACATTGTAGCTTCGATTATAACTTTTTTCTTTTTCTTTTTTTTAAAAGATTTATTTATTTATTTATTTATACAAGCACTGGGTACAGTCAGAAGCGCGGGAGGGTGAGAGAATTCACCAGAGCCAGAGCGGGGAGCAGAGCAGGCAGAAGGACCGAAGTACACTGCTGAGGGGAGCAGCGGGCGGCAGGAGAGGTCTGTGCGCCATGTGGGACCCTCCTCCAGTGGCCGGGGAGCAGCCGGGGATCGAACCGGCGCTGCAGAGGCTGCAGGCAGCTTTGCAACCCAGCGCTCAACAGCTGCACCACCGGGGAGGCACCAATTATAACTTTTATGCCAGCCACAAGATGGCTGTTTCTAGTCCAGCCTCCTTAAGTTCACATCTCAACCTGCAACTTCCTGGTAGAGTTTTCCACTGATTTTTATTTTGGAACATCAAACTCATTATACTCAAAAAAGCAAAACACAAAAAACAAAAACAATCAAAGTCTCCATTCCAAATCTGCTCTCTGCCTGTGTCATCAATTTCAGTTAACACTGTCCAGCATCATTTTCATCCTGGCCCACCTCTCCTCAGTGTCTACATCCAATAGAATGTTCCAAATCAGATTAGTTTGGTTTTTTTTAATAAGAGCAGTTTTCTTTATTTATTTATTTATTAAGTGTTGCTTTTCTTATCTTTTCTTTTTAAAGATTTATTTATTTATTTATACAAGCACTGGGTACAGTCAGAAGCACGGGAGGATGAGAGAATTCACCAGAGCCAGAGCAGGGAGCAGAACAGGCAGACAGATGGAGGACACTGCTGAGGGGAACAGCGGGCGTGGCAGGAGAGGTCTGCACGCCATGTGGGACCCTCACCGGTGGCCGGGGATCGAACTGGCTCTGCAGAAGCTGCGGGCAGCTTCGCAGCCCAGCGCTCAACTGCTGCGCCACTGGGGAGGCCCCAGATTGGTTCTGTATCTACAGTGTCTTTTACATTTATTGCCATCATTACACTTCCTCTGCCTTCATCACCCCTTCACTGAAGTATGACGACAGTTTTCTCATTGATCTTGCCCCCAGTCTCTAAATCTTAAAATTATCTTATACACAGTAACCCAAAGAATCCCCCTAAACATAGCTTTGTCACTTAGAAATCTTCAAGATTCCCCAGTGGATGTACAATATTGTGCTGGAAGTTAAGGTGAAGCTTGAGTAAGAAGGGGGTAGAGGAAGGGCTGCTGATGTATGTGCAGGAGTCCAAAGACCTAGAGAACTGGAAGTTTTGATGTCTGAAGGAAGGAGATGGATGTTCCAGCTCACAGTTCCCCTTTTTTGCCCTTTTCTTTTATTTAGACCCATACTTGATTGGATGGTGTCCCCCAGTTTGGTGAAGCAGATCTTTATTCAGTCTACTGATGCAAGTGCTAATCTCTTTTTTCCTCACAAACATCCCAGAAGCAGTGTTCACTGACTCTGTGGGCATCCCTTCACCCAGTCAAGGAGGCACATAAAAATTAAACTTCACAAGGATTGTTACATATCCTAGATCCTCCTACCCTTTTTTTCTCATTGAGTTATATTTCACATATAAAATGCATTCTTTTAAAGGATAAAATTCAGTGGTTTTTAGTATATTCACAAATGTTCAATCATCACCATGATCTAATTTCAGAACATTTTTATCTACCATAAAGGAAAGCTCATACCTGTTAGCCATCATTCCCTATTCCTCTTCATGCCCCAGTCCCTGGCAGGCACTAATCTGTTATTTACCTCTAAAGATTTGACTGTTTTGGATAAACAGATAATTAAACATGTGACCTTCTGTATTTGACTTCTTTCAATTAGTACAATGTATTCAAAATTCATCTATAATATAGAATATACCTGTACTTTATTTTTTATCAACTGATGGCAATTTGAGTGGTTTCTACTTTTTGAAATTTATGAATGATGCGCCTAGATTTTTGTGGGGGGGGTGTTTTTAATTCTCTAGTGTATATTTGAAAAAGTGGCATTGCTGGGTCATCGTAACTCTATATTACCTTTTGGGGGACTGCCAAGCTGTTTTTCAAAGTGGCTGTACCATCTCCATTCCCATTAACAGTGTGTGAGAATTCTAATATCTCCACGTACTCACCAACACTTGTTATTGCTTGCATTTTTGTTATAACTCTCCTACTCGGTATGAATTGTATCCCACTGTGGTTTTGGTTATTATTTCCCTGATGAATGATGTTGAACATTTTGTGTGTATGTATTGACCATTTGCATATAGAGTTCCCATTTTTTAGTTGATTGTTTTATTGTTTTGTTGTATCATTATATATGCCTTTCTCTTATCAGATGTAAAATTTGCAAAACTTTTTATGCATCTATGGGTTATCTTTCCACTTTCTGGGTAGTGACTTTCCAGCACAAAATTTTGTATTTGGAGGCCTCCCTGGTGGCACAAGGGGTTAAGATGCAGCATTATGAAGCTACCCACAGGCACTGCAGCATGAATTCCCCCCCAGCCAGGATGATAATGCACATGGCGCAGCAGACCTCTCCTGTTGCTCCCGCTGCTCCCCTCAGCAGTGTATTTCAGCAGATCTCCCTGTTCTGTTCCCCGCTCTGTCTCTGGTGAATCCTCTCACCAACCCCCCACACCTCTGGCCTGTATCCCAGTTCTTGTATGCATAAATAAATAAATCTTTAAAAAAATATATTCTGCTCCTTTAACCACATCCACTTAGTCCTAATCAGTCTAGTGCTAGTGAGAATTCTGTTAGGAACTATCACCACTTTGTGGAACTTTGAGGTTTCATTTCTCTAGAAATAACTGAATTGCCCCAAACCCACTTAGATGGAAAGTTTTGGGGGGTTTACGGATTGGGAAAAGGTGAATTTAAATATCAGCTTGCTAGTTCTACACTTTGGTTTATCCTAATGAAATAATTGTAAATATGTATATATCCATTTAGTAACTAAGCATATTTTCTTTTTTTTTAATGTAACTCACAAGCTTTATTTTATAAATGTAATAGGTAAAGTCAAGTAAGCACTTAAATTATGAAAAGAACTAATAGAAATTTTATTTTAAACATCTTACATTGACCTACTTGCAGTTGCATTTGACTAAGTTCTATTGCTGTGAAAACTACAGCTCAAGCACAGGTATGGATGAAAATTAATACATTTCTCATGTCTTCACTGACTGCTGCTTTACATAAATATACACATTAAATTTGAAAAAGATTTGATTGACTATCCACATATATACTTCATTTTTGTTGATCTCTTGGGAGAACTTGTCTAAAGAAAAAAAAAAGTGGTTTTGGCTTCTGAATCATGTAATGAAACCAGCCTATACTGTAAGACACCAAGGCTCCTCAATTTCTCTTCAGACATCAGACAGGTTTTGGGTACTTGTTCGGAAAGTTCTTTAGATAATGTGACATGCTGATACTCATAGTGCTGATGGAAACACTTGTCTGAATGGTAGATATGCTTGAGGGCCATCCTGGTGGCACCAGCAGCAGAGAAATAGCCTCGGCATGAAGAATAGGCCAAGGCAAATACTTGACTGTGACCAACTAACACCATGTTTTAAAAAACTGTTTAGTGACAGAAGGCAAAAAGAAATGGAAAGATACTCCATACTCATTTATTGGTAGAATTAACATGGTTAAAGTGGTTATCTTACCCAAGTCAATACATAGATTCAATGCAATCTTTATCAAAATACCGGTGGAATTTTTCTTTTTCTTTTCTTTTTTTTTTAAAGATTTATTTTTTATTTATACAATAGCAGGGGTATAGACCAGAGGCAGGGAGGGTGAGAGGATTCACCGGAGACGGAGTGGGGAGCAGAACAGGCAGACTGACCAAAAGCACTGCTGAGGGGAGCAGCGGGTGCCACAGGAGAGGGCTGCTGCGCCATGAGGGAGTCTCCTTGGCTTGCTAGGAATGGAACCCGCGCTGCAGAGGCTGTGGACAGCTTCACAGCACTGTGCTCAACCTGCTGTGCCACCGGGGAGGCCCTCTTTTTATTTTTATTTATTTATTTATTTATTTTTTATAGAGGCATGTTTTATTTATTTATTTATTTGTTTGTTCGTTTGTTTTGTTTATACATGCACTGGGTACAGTCAGAAGCACGGGAGGGTGAGAGAATTCACCAGAGCCAGAGCAGGGAGCAGAGCAGGCAGAAGGACCGAAGTACACAGCTGAGGGGAGCAGCGGGTGGCAGGAGAGGTCTGCGCGCCATGTGGGACCCTCCTCCGGTGGCCAGGGAGCAGCCGGGAATCGAACCGGCGCTGCAGAGT